TAATGAACACATAATGTACATAAAACATATTCAACAAAAAAATCAACAACAAAGAACAAACTAACAACGTTTAGCTCTCGGCTTTCCTCTTCGTGGGGAAGCTTCTCCCCTTTTTGTCTACACCCTTCGACGCCGCATGGCCATTTTCATGTAGCAATTCTTGCCTGTTTTTTCTAAGTGCCATTTTCCGAAGATGCTTATAATTCTAGAAAACAATTTATTTAAAATTCTAATATTAAAAATAATCTGAAAATGCTATAGTCTTAATCTACTCTGTTATTAAAAAGCAAACAAGAGTTGGAGAGTCTACATTGGGAAAGGCAAAGAAAATCATTGTAAGTTTACAGTAGGAATGCCAACCTTAGCAAAAACGTCTCGTTGATTAGCCCAGCGTGGAACAATCTTCTCCAAAGATTGCGTCCGTTTGAAGTTACTGACTAGACTTTGTAAATGTGGCTCATCACCCGTAACAAAGAACTTTGTCGTAGAAGCAGCCTGAACTTAAGAATTTGCCAACTGGTAAAAGAAAATGTCCATCTTTTACCAATTTTGGTGCTAGCGCTGCAACTTTAGCATTACTACCATTGCTTTTCTCTTCTTCCATTTCTTCGTCATTTGCGAATATTTTCTTCATTTTCTGTAACAAATAACTTTCTCGCTAACATCCACTCGTTTACAATCAAGCGTTACCTTGTTTGCTAAGATATTTTCTTCCTTCACACCATTGGCTTTCAACTCAGATGTAGCACTTGGTGCAGCTCTACCCATCATAGCCAGAAATGAAAAACCACTAGCTTTGCCACCATCGTTCGAATCCTCTGCAGTTTGTCCGGCTAGTCGTGCCTTCAGCTGGAAACGAGTTTACATAAGATAGAAAATAAATTGGAAATGAATGCTTAGGTCAAATTGATTTTGACGTTGTAACAAACCCACTTCTTCAGCAAAATCGGCTTGCATCTCGTAATGAATAACATTAGACCCCTTCTCATCTTTTCTATCATTTGATTCATTAGCAGGCTCTCCATCGGATTCATCTTTTTTCTCATCTTCCTTTGCTGCAGCCCCTTCATCGGATTCATCTTTCTTCTCATCCTCCTTTGCTGCAGCCTAACAAAAAATTACATCAATCCTTTAAGCTACCTTGACTCTCCTCGTCACTAAGAAACATTTCTTACCTCCTCCTTTTGCACCCACTTGACATGCTCTTCGTTGAAAGGATCGAACCTGGAACAGTAATCTCAAGAAAAACTAATTGATAAAAAGAGTGCCTGAGGAAATTTGCTTACCTAGTGAAAGGACGAAAACTTATCAGTCCATTTGTTCCTTCCTTCTTGGACGTCTTCAAAGTCTTCTTTTGTGGCTTTACTGTACTACCAAGCACTTTCGACAGCAACTCCAGATTCTTTGAACGTTCCTGAGTAACTTCCTGAAACATCATAAAGCTAAGTGTGGAACGAAGTAGAGTATTCGTTTTAAACTCACATCGTTTTCTTCATCTTCACTTCCACTGGAAATAAATTTTTCATCAAGATGAAAACGTGAATCAGAGTTGAAGCGTGCCTCCATTTTCATGAGCTTCTCACCTGAAGAGCATAGGTCTTTTGGACACTGGTGGGAAAGCTCAGTTTGCAAACATAAAGAAAAGGTGATGATGACCAAAATGCAAAACACATCAATCCTAGAGAACGAACCTTTCTTCCCTACATGTCGATTTATAATACTTAGTTGGTTTTTTTCCTCGTCGCTTTCTTCCGATGAACTCTCTTCAAACAGTTTTGGATGTTTCGCTGTCGAAGAGGCATGACTGGTTGAGGGTTTGTCCTTGATATACAAGAATGTAGAAAATGTAAAGATATCAAATGATAAACCGCAGAGAGCCAACTGTTCAAAAAATTACTGGTAGGATCTTAATCAAGGCTTGCTCGATATGCAAGTATTCGTATGTTACAAAACTGATGCAAACGCATTCACGAGATGCAACAATCACGAATCACAAGAACAGATTATCAATCAAAACATATATCATTGAGCATATGAGTTCAAAAGATAGTTGGCTATCTTTCAAATCAAACTTTATTTTAGTCATAACTGTCACTATGAGGTCCTTATTTTCG